GTTCCATTATGTGGATGACACCTGGGTCAAAATCCAAACCAAGGAAAAAGAAGCGTTCACCAGACACATTAACTCGGTCGATAACAACATCAAGTTCACCAGAGTGTAAGAGTACCACTGCCTGCAGCTCCTCCTCCAAGATGGCCGCTAATTGCCCACACCTGACGGCCATCAGACTGAGGAGGCGTCCCGGCTACAAAAGGCTGCAGTCCAGTGCTACTCTTCGCTGGAGCATATCACCTTCCATGGTAGTTGTGCTTCAAGCCTTTTAGGCTATTACTCACAAGTACTAACCTTGCTCTCTTGTTTCCAGTGTTTCCTGGTTCCTCGGCTTGTTAAAGGACCCCTCATGGTCCTTTGGTTTCCTGACTCCTCGTGTCCTGTTCCTGGTCCCTCGGACTCCCTCGTGACCTGTTCTTGGTTTGTAGACCCCCTTGGGTCCCTCCATGGCTCAACCTCCCTCGTGCCTGGATCTCCCTTGCCTGGTGCTTCTAATTCAGCCAGTGCCTGCCCTGCCAGCTACTGGACTCTCTCTGGACTCTCTGGAGCTCTCTTGGAGGATTGGAACCCGCCTCTGGACCAAACTGTAAGAGATTCACAGAACACAAAATATCAGCTCCTAAGAACTCCATCTCCATTCTGACTGTCCTCCTCTACCTCCTCAAGGAGCTGCAGAGAAGCTGCACCAGAACTGTTTATTATTTCACCTGTAAATAAACACTGTTCTTTTGTATCCACCTGAGTCTGTCTCGTTCCGGGTCTCATACAAATCTGGGTTCCCCGTGGTTATGACAGAAATGCTCCAGCCAAAGCAGACCCAGAATGAGACCGGGAACGAACAGACAACCGCCATCTCACAGGTGGAACGGATCTGCAGACTGGAGACAATGTTGCAACAGGTTCTGACCCAGCAACGTGCGGCCCAGTCCAACATGCAGGAACTCGGAGGTATGATTTACTCCCTCAAACATCAGCTTCTACCTCCTCTTCCTCTAGATCCGACCGACCCGCCTGTCCCCAGCGTCCCTCGTGAGGCACCTGTCGCAACCTCCCATGGTCAGCAGCTGCTCGTCAAACCGTCTGAACTGTTCGCCGGAGATCCTGACCAATGTGGGGGTTTTCTGCTGCAGTGCAGACTCGCTTTCGAGGGAGCCCCGTCTCTCTACCACACAGACTCTGCGAAAATTATTTACTTTATTAACCTTCTCAAAGGTAACGCCCTTCGCTGGGCTAATTCTTTTATGCAGTCCCACGTGAATCCCCCGGCTACTTACCCCCAACTCCTGAAGGAGTTTTGACAGATCTTCGATCGCCCCCTGCAGGCTTCTAACGCAGTGAAATGTCTCCTGGGGTTACGTCAAGGCCGCCGTCCTGTTTCTGAGTACGCCCTGGAGTTCCGGATCCTGGCGACTCAAACGAGGTGGGACGAACTTGCTCTCCAAGGTGTGTTTCTGAACTCTCTCTCCGACCAGATAAAGGACCAAATCGCTGCATGAGATGAACCGGAAGGGTTCGACCAACTAATCGAAATGGCCATTTCCATTGATGACCGCTTCCAGGAACGGAGGTGAGAACGGGACTACAACCCCCAGAAACCTTCCACTTCTGGGTTCGCGGCCCCTTCAGGTGAACCTTGTTATTTTAAGACAGCGAAAGAAAGTTATCAAATGCAAACATCCCCGGTTATTAATCCTCCTTGTTTGTCTCCCCAGACCAAACTTCCCGTGCCTCCCGAGCCAGAACCCGTGCAGATTGGGCGAACACGGTTGACAAAAACTGTCCAAACATAAATCAGGCTCTAGTGAATTTTTTTAAAAGTTGCCTCATTTGACAGGGGACTAGAGATAGTAGAAGGAAGGATGGTTTGAATTTTCTCTCTAATTGAAATAATTTTATTTATAAAGAATCTCATTAAGTCATCACTACTTACAGTCGTAGGGATACATGGTTCAATAGAAATGGGACTTTTAATTAGTCTAGCAATAGTACTAAACAGAAACCTAGGGTTATTTTTATTCTCATCTATTAAGGATGAGTAATATAAAGTTCTAGCTTTACGGAGAGCTTTTGTATATGTTAGCAGACTATCTTTCCAAGTTAAATAAAATTCTCCAACATTAGTAGAGCGCCATTTTCTCTCCTGGTTTCTAGATGCCTGCTTTAAAGTACGTAACTCAGAATTGAACAAAGGAGCCAGTTTCCTCTGATTGATGACTTTCTTTTTCAGTGGATCAATTTTATCAAGTGAAGTTTGCATTGAAGTTGTAAGATGCATTATGCAACAAATCTGGCAAAAAGACCCAGGACTGCTGAACAGCAGACAAGAATAAAACAAGAAGTAAACACTGTAATGATTTACTAAGGACCCAGAATAGTCGTGAAATATAAGAGCAACCACAAGACCAGGAACAGTTTTAACAGTGTTTATGTACAAGTGAGTGATATGCAAGCAGTCAAACTGCAACCTCTGGAGGAAGGGACTGTAACCCTGAAGACAAGGGACTAGTTAGGAGTCAAGCGGGTCTACAGAAGAAGATTATAAAAACACCAGTCTGCTTACTTGTGAAGATGGTAAACTCTGGGTTGCATGAGAGTCCAAGGTTCCAGGATCAGTCCAGGGTGATCAAAGAATAAGCAAGTGGGGAAGGCAAGGAATGAATGGAAGAGATACTCAGAGAATGCAGGGAGATCCAGGAAATCAAATGAGCTCAGGAGATTCTGTGAGGCATAGAAGCAAATAGGATACAATAAGCAAAATTCTAGACAATACAATGGTCAGGAACACACTACTATCAGGCAGACAATGCACCAGCATTAGAGTTGTTTTATGAAATTTCTTTAACAAAAGTTCGTGAACGGTCGGCCCCAATAATTCACACGAGAGGAAATAAAACAAGGAGACTGTTCTGCTAGAAATAATAGTGTCATTTATTAATCTGCCACAGAAAACAGCCAAGTAAACATGTACACTTGTACACTCTTTACACACAAATTGATATGAGAGCCTCTCACCGTGACACGTGGTCGGGAAGCCTTCGACCCGAGTGACAGGAATCACACCAACAGCTGGGCACCTCGTGCGTTGGTCCGCAGCAGACTTCTAACTCTGTCACAGTGTTATGCTTTTTAAATACCCCTCCCTGACCAGATCGCGTGAGAGCAGTGAAAAACAAGTTTGATGGTTGTCAGAAGGACAGACAGAAAGTCGGTATCTCATAAAAACATGTTGTGCAAAACCAAGGCAATAACCTGACCTTGAAAACATGTTTTCCCAGGCA